ACCCTAGCTATTCTATGATTCTATGATTCTACTTGCTACCACAAGTTTTGCCACAAAAGGAAAAATGAAGATGTTCTTCCAGTCAGCACTAGTATTGATGAGAATATGCACACAAAACTCTGCAGTCACTTAAGCATAGTCTACATCACCCCATCCCCAGTGTTTCACAGCAAATTAGCCTCTCTATAATCCCAAACAAATCCAATGTTTAACATAAACAGCAACAGCTTCAGATAATGAAAAAATACCACCATAGAGGAGATTAATGAGTAGACTTCCAGTTCAAACAAGACACTGAAATTAAGTGTATCCACTTGCTTCTCTCCAACATGTAATTTTTATGTCTTGGAACACTTTCCAAGACACAAAATAAAGGACTTCTAATTGGAACTAAATGGTTTTTAAGGTCCCTTCCAACTCAAACCATTATATGATTCTACAATTCTCTTTTCCAGTTTACTTAAAAAAGTTGCTCTCACCCCAATTCCTTGAATAACAGTATCAACTGCATGTCTAGAAGTGCAAGTAGGATTATTCTGTTTGGTAACATACCTTCCTGCTCATTTTTGATTCTCAGACATTAAGATGCCTCTGTTGCCCAGGGGTTTCCTTAGCAAAGATGCACAATCCCCTTCCTGTGCGCATGAAAATCCTCCCAAGCAAATTATTTGTACATACTAACTGAAAGTGTGCTCTCTGCCACTCACATGAAAACAAGTATACCAAAGATGACAAGATAATTCAGCTACTAAAAAGCAAACCAAACCAAACATCCCCGTTCCAGAATGAAAAAAAAAAAAAAATCTAGTCAAGGATTTCTTGCTAAGAGTAATTCATTTTTTTTTTGAAGATTACTTCATTACACTAACAAGAAAGCCCTCATACATTAAATGAAAGCTGCTAAAGCAATTCTCACTATCAAGAGCTGTAAAACAATACAAAAATGCCCAAGAGCTACTTACGCAATTGCACAACCGCACTCTCTCCATTTGTTGCAATGTAATGCAGAGTTTGCTCCCCATAGTATGAAGCACCTGTTTTATCAACTTCTGTACTAGCTATTACTAGCACAGCAGTGGCTAATAGGAAAGACACACAGTTACTTCAATACAATTATTGCAAATTATATAAAATATTTCACAAACTACCATGAACAAAGATTCATTTGTTCAAAGATTGGTTCGATTATGAATTCTAGTAAGTTCTTTGTGTTCCAGTGCTGTTATCGTTCTCTTTTGAATTGTTTTTTCCTAAAAAAACAGAACAAGTATCTTATTTTCTCAGACGAAAAGTGTGATATAAGTCTATTCATTCACCATTCAATCATAGGAAAGTGAACACACTTTTGCAGCCATAAAAATATATTCATCTGACTAAGGCAGAAACCGAGCATCCTGATCAGCCCTTGAATACAATGTTTTATTAACAGCTTTTGTACGTGCGTCTATTTTACCCAAAGCTGTGTGCCTATGTGTGCTCTCTACATGTATGTAATACCCTTGCTGTATTCCAAAGAACGCAAGTTGAAGTGTTTTTTACAAAATTATTCTGAAACAGCTCATTGCTAACAAACAGCAAAGCCCACAGAGTACTGTGCAAGTCACCCCAATTGTGATACATCTGCATACATACAATTATACAGATTAAAAACAGTTTATGCTCTGCTAAAAGCTTATGTTTACAGTCTAAATACATTATCATCACACAATGCAAAATTAAATTTGAATTTACTATCCAACTGCAAAATTCACCAGCATGTAGAGTATTCTCAATTACAATACAGAAAATCGTGGAAGTCAACACAGGAAAGTTATGAGCACCTCAGGGTATTCAGAACTGCAACGTTAACGTTGCATTAGCATTAACAGCTATCTTCAGTGCTAATCTGCATATGCAAATTAAAAGCAAAAGCCACACAGTAAACAAAGTAATTAAATCCAACATATGTGGAATATAAAAAGTTTAAATATACAACTGTTGTACCTTTTTTGTTCCATAGCATTGTCACCTTGTCAGCTTTAAAGAAGCTCTTATTGGCTAGTGCAGACTGTGGGCCACCAAAGTTGGGATACTGGTACAGTCTAACAAATGATGGTGCACCTTTACTGCCCGGAACGTATACTGCAACCTAAAACAAAGCCACAAGACTTTATTGCAGATTATACTCTTGGTAGCACAATGTCTATTCACTGCTATTAGTAGTGAAATCTATTGCACTAAATTCAAGGTGATTTTTTCTTAAGAAAACCAAGAAAAAAATTCTGAAAGAATCTCAGAAGTACCTTGGTTGGCTGTGCTCCTGGAGATAACACGAAATCGTTAACCTTTTGCAAATGCAGTTTATTTGCAATAGTGTCTGCAAAAAAAAGCCACAGGTGTTAATGAAAAAACTTGTTAGCCTGGATTAGTTAACAATACCTTTTTATGGGTCCATATCATGGATAATAAAACCCAGTATATATAAAGGATTTCTTTTACTAGGCAAACAACCATTGCTTTCATGTACTTTTATTTACAAATCCAACTTGAACCAAGGCTAGGTCTGAAACCCAGTATTCAGTATTTTGAAGTTCAAGCAGCAAGGAAGCTTCTGAACCCCAGGTGAACACAGCTCATCTCTTAAGCCAGGCACAGAATTCTTCATCTTATCTGTACTGACTTCAGAGGAAGCAGTATCAGTAACATCCAAGTAACAAGCACCATCACAAAGCCAGGGGTTCTCCCCTTGCAGCTTTACTGCATGATTGTTCCTGATAGGAAGCATTCATAAAGGCCTGCTCTGTGCTGAACATTGCCACTTTACACAAACAACTTACAGGAAACGCATGTCTAAAAATTAAATAAACAGCAGCAATCCACATTCCATGCTTTCCAAGTATAGCTTTGTTAACATCAATAGGGCTAATTCTCAGGAAACTGTATCTCTCACAGGCAGTAGTTTTACACAGTAATTCTTCTATCAGCTATATATTGAAAAGAAAACAAAAAAAAAAACACCAAAAACCAAACCCACACACCACTGTCTCCCCCAGTTTTCTTTTATTCATTTAAATTTTTGTTCTAATTCATCTTTTATCTTTTTTTCTTCCCTTTCCCTTTTGAACCTCTATTAACTTCAAATATTCTAGACATAATATTCTAGACTGCTAGACATAAACTTTCTTGAAACAAATGCTCTAGCTTCACAACTTCATTTTTGCGATTCATAAATTTTCTAATGAGCCATTTTTTAATAGTTCATTGACAAAATAAACATAACACAAACAAGAAACCACAGATCACATTCTCTATTGACAAATTCCTGGACCTCATTAAATGAGAAATAATCCAGAATCAGGCCTCTTTAATTGAAAATTAAACGCATTTCATACCAGGAAAGTCTCTGAAAAGAGAAACTAGAAAGTAAAAACATACTTTATTAAAACATAATGATTCTGAATTCCAAATTCAGATAGAATGTAGGCAATATTTAAAATAAAAAGCAATCAAAAGAAGAAATGGAAAAAAAAGAAAAAAAAGAAAACGGAAAAAAACAACACCCAGAAAAAGATGCCTATATAGAATGCAATAGAATCATAGAATCATAGAATAGTTAGGGTTGGAAAGGACCTTAAGATCATCTAGTTCCAACCCCTCTGCCACGAGCTGGGACACCACACACTAAACTATGTCGCCCAAGGCTCTGTCCAGCCTGGCCTTGAACACCTCCAGGGTTGGAGCATTCACAACTTCCTTGGGCAACCCATTCCAGTGCCTCACCAGCCTCACTGTGAAGAACTTCTTCCTTATATCTAACTTAAACTTCCCGTGTTAAAGTTTAAAGCCATTACCCCTTGTCCTACCACTACAGTCCCTAATGAAGAGTCCATTAAAATGTATAGAAATACTTGCGTACTGAAGTTGTTGTTTTCAAAGAAGTGAACTTCATTGTTTACATTCCTGGCACAAATGCTTTCATCATCTGCCCAGCAAGGACACCTACATTTAAAAAGAAAAAAAAGAGGAACACCTAATGATGCTCATCTTTAGTAGTATATGATTTATTTTTTCCTCTGTTTTTACAGTCAAGCAAGTTCAAACATGATCCATGATTCAAATGGACAAATGACATCTGCATAGTAAAAAATATATAAGTAGACTTAGTTATTGTCTCCCCAGCTTTCTCTGTGGTGCAAAATGATAGTGACTTTATACTAAGAAACAATTATAAGTACACAAAAAGATACCTTCAGTCATGAATAAGCTAGTAGCAGATGTATTTTGAAAGCCACCATCAAACTAAAAGCTCTATTTACCTGGATCAGATTTTGGAAACCACGTTTCTTTGCAAGTAATTAGTATCTGTAAATGTTACTTACCAGTTCTGCATTTTTTTCTGGATGAAAGATTTTAAACACTTCCCAGTTTTCACATCATGAAGTTGTAGGTTGGGCACTCCTGCTGTGCCATCTTTAGCAGCTGCAACAAAACCACGAATTACAGTACAGCGGTCTCTGGGGATTAAACCTGCTTCACCATGATGACATTCCATCCCACAATTCTATAAGCAACCAAGCATGCATAAACCTTTTACAAGAAGCATCCTACCCCGAGGGACTAAACCCTAGACTGCTAATTGCTTTACTTATTAACGTAAGCCTTTCTACAGTCTTTCAGTCTACAGAAAGGTGTAGGGCTTCTACTCCCCATTGTAAGACTAGAACCACCAACACTAGCATAGCTTTTGTAATGCATATTTTTTAATCAAAAGCTATCCTCTTAGTAAACAATTAAGCTGTTCTCCCCTCCTACATTTTATTTTCATAAGGATGAGATGCATTTTGTCCATCAGGATCTGCAAGCCATACAAAAAGGTTCTGCTGGTTTTAAACTCCCTATACCTTCCTACCTATCTGGATAGTACATACAGCCTGCCTATTTCTGCCACTGCCCCAGAACAGACCTAACAGTTCTCTAACAGTCCACAGTTGGCAACAGTTCTGTCACTTGTGCTGCCCTGTCTTATCCTACAATCTGTCCCAGATCATGTCCCACATGCTCAGCCTATGGCCAGCTCTTTCTGTTGAAAGCAGCACTCACACTCTCTGCTTTAGACACACAACTTAGATGAGTCTGAGGCTATCTAAATTAGGAACATAAACTCCACAGAGAGGCAGAGGAGGGAATAAAGCCCTCTGGACAACGGAGAGCACTCAAGTCAGCTGTGCCTGATGGAGAACATGACTACTCTGAGATAGCTTACAATTCTCCTTGTCTATACATGAATATAAACCACTTGAACAGCATATTATTAAAACATTCTTTGCACTAAGATCAGTTAGCAATTTTTAGAAACATGAGATTTACTTTAATAGAGTAATTGTTAGTACGTGCACTTAGTTTTAGTGTTTGTAAGAACAGCTGATAGCAGATGCTTTCAGAAGATGGCATCTCTCCCTCCTCCCCTATATATTTGATTACCCATATAATTTTCTGTACACTTTCTGTACTGCTCATTTAGCCAAAAAATATACTACAGCAACAAATCAGATAATGGAAAGCCTGCAAACCAAATTAAAACATGACATTACCCTGTGTGTTTGTACATCTGGTAAAATACTCACTTGTATAGGCCTGCCATGTTGCCAGAACATTGTTCTTTGGTGAGAATTGAAGGCAAACTGCCTTTGGAAGATCAAAGGAACACAGCAACTCACCACTGGTGACATTAACAACATTTACTCTGGAACAAAAAGATGTTATTTCAATAAAACATGCTTAAAATACTTCATTAATAGCCAAGGTAACTTTTTGCATGTGACTCTTCTAGATCTGTCCCAAATATAGCCAATGTAATGAAGTTATAAGAGCTTTATTTTCCCTCCTGCTTTCACTAAATTTTTGCAAGAATACATTTTAAAACCGGATACCTAACATGAACTAAGTGAAAGCACTGGTCAAAATACATCACATATTTTTATCTGCAATACTTAAACTCCAAACAAGAGACAAGATACATTCCATCCATAGAGCCCATCCACACTTCCACAGTGCTGAAGCTAAGCACAACAGAAAGATTCTAATTGAATTAAAACATGCATTTATCACACGTATTTTTTTAAAGACTTCTATCTATAACGATACATCATTTACAATTTGGGCTTTTTGAGATTGGGGCTGCAGGGAGACTGGGTCAATAAAAAGCAAAGGTCAGAGAGCTGAACAAACAAGGTCAAGCAGCACCTCTGAATTTTGTGTATTAAAGATCTGCCACATATCGAATCCAAAGAAACAAAAAAGATCACATCAAGATGCTTCCAAGTCACTGCTGTTCTTGGAAGCTGCATTAGGAGCCTGTTTCACACCATCTCCCTAACTGCTCCCTCTCAGAAATGAAGATGGACAGCCTCCAAAACAAAGAGGCACAGCAGGACAGGAAAGATTTACCATGTGGAACATTCTCATTTCACGTGTGAGTACCTGGATACACAACCTGGTTGTTTAAAAAACATTTCCCCCCACAAACATTTCCTGGAAATGGACATTAAAAATTGACAAAACCAAAGTTTTTAATGAAAAATATCTAGGGTTAGGTCTAAATATTTTGTAGAACTGAAAACAGAAGTGAAAGTAATGAATCCTACATCTATCTTCCCTACTTTAAAAGAAATGGTTACATGGGATTACTAAATACATTTTTAACCTGTTAGTAATACTGGCATATCAGAAGAAGCCTTATCTTTACAGCAGCAACCCCATGATCCACTCTTATGTAAAGGATTATCTCTAGAGAACTCTATAATGCACTGGGTCTATAAAAAAGGAACCTTATGCTGTTTGTATGCAAGATGCAGAAACTCTTCATCTTCTGTGAACTTTACCAACAGATTAATCCCAGAATCACAGAATGGTTTGGACTGGAAAGGACCTTAAGATCATCTAGTTCCAACCCCCCTGCCGTGAGCAGGGACACCTCACACTAGACCATGGCACCCAAGGTTCTGTCCAACCTGGCCTTGAACACCACAAGGGATGGAGCATTCACAAGTTCCTTGGGCAACCCATTCCAGTGCCTCATCACCCTCACTGTAAAGAACTTCTTCCTTATATCTAATCTAAACTTCCCCTGTTTAAGTTTGAAGCCATCACCCCTTGTCCTACCACTACAGTCCCTAATGAAGAGTCCCTCCAGAAACCAGGTACTATTGTACTGGGAATTATGAACACAAAAAGAAAACCCAAATAAAGCATATCCAGATTCCACAGGAACAGGTGTGTTATAAATATAAGGAAACAGTAAATATTTTATCTAATGTTCAGGAAGTGAAGCCGCTACTGTGAGTAATGCAAAAATAAACTGAATTTAAAGCATGCATGCAAACACTTGTGTTAATAACAACAGCCTTTACACAGACAAGAGTAAATGCGACATAACTGATCCAGTTTAATGCAACCTAAACAGCTAATATAATAAAATGCACCTACTTTTCTCCATTGCACCAGGCAAAGAGGGAACCGTCCTTGCTAAAAACAACAGCTTTGCAATTTTTTCCAGAGTCCCTAAAGAAGTAAGAAATGCACATTAGGATTCAGACATACTGCAGAAGTTATTTTGAACAAAATAAAAAGCAACACACCAATTTTCCTGCTGCACTTCTGAGTAGCACTTTTTAACAGCACAGTCTACTCTGCAGTTGTTCAGTGACCATGAGAAGTCAAGCAAACCATCAATTTTCTGACCTACTGCCAGTAAGAAAAAAATCACTTATATTTATACATTTTTCAATTCTACAGTCTACCTTTACTTTTTAGAAAATAATTTCTTTTGTGCAAAACATAAAAACTAGTGAGAATAACTGTACCTTTGAAAGGCTGTGCTCTCTGTGAAACTAGGTGGCCCATTCACCATATAAAGCCCTTCTGATCCTCTCACTGGAAGAATGAAAAAATAACTATCATTTCAAATTCACAGAACTGCCCAAAGAGAAAGTTTTTTCTAATATGTGCACCTTAAGACTTGCACATATTTATTCCCTGTTTGCGTTTCAAAGTGAGAGGGTTGTAAAGGAAATTCAGAACGTAACACGTGCTGAGGCTCCTGGCTCATCCATGGCAGCTGCAGGATTAAAACACAGGACAGAGGCAGTGAAGAGACTGAGCTATTGCCCCAGCACCAGCAGCTCCAGCACACAATGCACAGGCACTGGAAGCACCAGTCTCCTGGACACCTCTGCAGACATAGCAGCAACCAGCCAGCACTTTGCCAGATCTAAGGACTGAACTGGGACAACTGCTGCCAGTCCCAGCTTTCCCACACCTTCAGTCATGCGATCAGCTCCCTGCTTTGACTGGCAAAGCCATTCCAAGGCAGCCTTCCCCACAGGGTCTGTCTATGAACCAGTTTGTCCCTCTGCCATGGGAGCACAGGTACCAGTGCAAAGAAGGGAGCGTAAGCACTGCCAAGGGCAGGGGGCCAAGCAGAACAGACCCAAATCAGGTGCATGATGGAGGGGCCAATGCTGGGGGCACCCCTAAGGCTCCCCAACCCACCCCTGCTCCAGGCAGGGTGAAGGTATCCCCAGAGATGGAGATCCACAGCTTCTCTAGGCAGCCTGCGCCCAAGGTCAGTCTCACAGTAAAATAGCTTTTCTTATGTTTAAATGCAATTTCCTGGATGCCAGTTTGAGCCCACTGCCTCTTGTCCCATCACTGGATACCACACACCAGGAGTCTGGCTTCATCTCACAAGATGATGTCAAACTACAAAAGAGCTGCACCTACATACGGAAGGAGGATGGGATGATATCCCATCCTGAAATGGCCGATGGTGACAGCTCTCAACCCTGCTGCAGGAGGCACTTTCCTACAGCCTAACTTGCAAAAGTTGGGAATGCTCCATCACTGCAAGAGCCACTCAAGCATCCTGCACAATGGAGTTGATACGAGCTGCCTCAGTACATGTCAAAGCAAGGATTAGCTGCCTGAACACAGGAACAGCATTTGCCAAAAGAAGTTTATGTCAGACTGATTTTTTTGCTGACATTAGGCAAGATTTGCCCTGACAGTAGTTTCAACATTGAACTTCAACTGGGGAAACAGAAGGCATGAAAGAAATATCAATATCAACTGTGTTTCAGATTTCATTTCTTTCAGAGCCCTTGCCATGCTTACAGCACTAGAAAACAAGAAATGAAGATAGACTCATGCAAAACTGTGCAGATGACATAGCTGTATATAGACTGTGGTTTTTACATATATATATATATATATTTTTTTTCCAGGTAGTTCTGTTACAAGCATATTAGAATTCAGAGTTGAACCATGAAATGGGCAACTGTTACATAGTCATTAGCTGTGCTTCATGTGTTATCTTGGTGCGCTGAGGCGACAATTTTCACTGTCAAACATGACTCAAGAAGCAGGATCTGTACAAGCCCAAGCTGCAGGCTCTGCAGCTGCATTATCTGAAGGAAGTGCTGTGGCCAGCAGTGCAATGGGAAGTCTGGCAGTAGAATGGCAGCACCGCTGCTTGGCCGGGTCTGTATATTCATGAACCACATGGTGGAACCCATGCGCACATCCAGCAACACCTGGGACAACAGTAACATCTGCCACCAAACACCCCTATGCTGCTCTTTGGAGCCGCTTCTTCAACCGCTGAGGGTCCTCACTCCATCTCTGATAGTGCTTTAGAAATTAACAAATGGAAATCACTGTAAGCAGCAGTTTATTAGACATGGGAAAATACTGGTTTGATAGATTTCAAACTTCCACATGTTCTGTAGCTCTTTACATCCCTAGGGTACACCATGCCCCTGACATACCTCAAGGGTACATGTTAGCAATGCTTTAAATATGACCCACTAGCTTCACACCCCTGCCGGGAGTCTATTTTCCTGGTCCTCTGTCAGACTGTCAAGAAAAATCAAGATCCAAATTTCGGATCTAGGTTGTAGACAGTAACAAGTAATCCAAAACCCACCATGGACAGCTGCAGCCCCCGTCACACCCAAGCAAAGATAAATATGTTGGCGTTTAAAGCTTAGAAACACAAGAAAATAAAAAAATTAAATCCCTTATGGGCAACTTCAGAAGAGAAAAGGAAGAACTCTTGAAAGGAACTTTCCTACAAAGCGCAGTGAAGGTGCTCCTGTGAACTACGAGCTCCACCCGGCTGCTGAGCGGTGCAGACC